ACCCTAGTTCGAAGAGGAAAGACCCATGTTTTATTCCTATGCTAGCACTAAACCGCAGACTGAAACATTACTGCCCGCATGATAGTAAATTAAGTAACGCGTCAAGTGAATATTCCGTCTTCTAATGTGATTCATAACCACTGAATCCTTGCTGGGGATAATTCAGCAAATCATGCCAATGATCCTTTGGAACGCAGTGTATCGTGGTAACAGTTTTCATTATCATGTCCCGGACGAAGGCAAGGTTTCTCCCAGGAAAATGGGATCAAATGATATAATCACCCTGAATTAACGCCTTGAAGGAGCTAGCCCAGCGGCTGTGCTCCGGAACCTGGCCAGGTTGTCAGGACATTGAATATCTGGTGATAAGGAACGTATTCCAAGCCTCCTTTATGAATAACTATTCGGATATTCCAGCTTCCATATAGGTCATGGTCGTCAAGCAGCTGAAGGAAATCAAGGCAATAGAAAGATCCCACATATGGTGGGTCAGTGAGGGTTTTTCAGTGTCTGTTCGAACTAGTTGCAAGTAATCAGACGCTGTCACCCGATGGATTCCCAAGCCTGCAAGGATGCTGTTGTGTACGCAAAATGCCAAAAGATTACTCCATATGTCAGCTCATAATGTAGGAATTTGTGAATTATCCGAGGTCTTTGGATACTTCTCTTCTGCGGCTGAATGCTGTCGTTAGTGATCTCGCTCTCAAGAAGGATATGAACCAATGACAGCCCCTGAGAGTTGAATAGCTTAGCGCATATAGAGATATTCCAGATGTGGAATCACCCGGCGAACAATTTTAAAGCAATGATACTACCGGGGTTTGCCCGGTACTGCTAAATAAACGGCCATAAAACGTCCTTTTTGGGATAGCCCTCGTCACTTATTATTCCCTGCACCATTGAAGCCACATTTTCAAAATGGAATCATGGTGTTGCTGAGCCCATCCTACACTGGGTCAGGAGGATCAAGCAAGGTCTAGGGAGTCGGGAACGATTGGATGAGTGGTCTGGTGGGTATGCAGGCTGACGCACTGAAATAATTGGCTCCATGTCCGCTTCTGAGTAACTATTTGGGAGTTTAGAATACAATGGGTGAACGGAACTAAAGAACGAGGATAGCGCGCCTGGAGTCTTGATAATTATGCTGCGTTGTGGAAAGAGAAGTGGAAAACGGAAAAAATAAAAAAAATAAAAAAATAAAAAAAAAAGCCGGTTTATTAAACGAGAATGCCAAGGTTTAGCGGCTGAATCATATACTTCCTTGGCATTTTAGAACCTTAACTCGAGGCTTGTGCTTTGCTTAGTCAGCGTTCTAGCTTTTTTTTTTTTCTTTCTTGTTTTTCAGCTTTTGCTCGAGGATAAATGATATAATGATAATGGGCAGTACTCCGTCCGTACGGAGTAGTGTGATGCTTGTGATGCTGGCGATGCTCTCAGAATAATGGAAAATGGGGGCGGTTGATTTGCCGCGAAAAAGCCCTTGGCCCCGCCTACCCTGGCTGGCTCAAAAAGGCATATCTTGACCTCTATATGGAGTAATACTTACATGTCTTATTATTGTCTCGTGAGCTACGGAGTACTGGCTTGACTATCATCTCCATCACTGAGCATAATATACTGTGCGGCTACTGGTTACAAAGGCATATTAAGCCACCATATCGGCTCACTCTCCCGGCCACGTAATCATTTTCCTTCTTCTTCCTTCTCCTTCTTCTTCTTCTTCCTTTTCTTCACGCCTTTCTCCTTCAAGACGGGGTCGGACTTTCTCCTTGGTTCACGAAACGAGCCCGGCGGCCCCCTGAGGCGAGGAGCATGGGAATAAGCTTAATCAGCGCACCCGAGGTCCCACCAGCTTAAAGCTAAATTTGTTTGGCCCGAGCCAAACCACGCGAAGCAGTTTTCGAGGTGATGATGATTCGTGCCCGGTCTTCGTAACCAGCAGAATGAGGCACTCTTCAGCTTGATGTCAAGCTATCTTTTGCGAAAGAGGTATTACTCCCCACTTTTCCGGCCCCCCTCCCCCCTTTATAATTATGATTCCGTCTGCTGGGCCTATCAGGTCAGGTGCTCCAGTCCTCCTTTTTCCGTTTACCTTCGTTGACATGGGAAGACCGTGGCATGACACCCCGAATGAAATGTGGCTGGCGTCTCCGCTAGTCAGCGCCTCATTCAACCTGGGGCACTGGGCAAGTAAGCTTTCGTCGAAGGTCTTAACCGGAAACATGGGGTGTTAGAGAAACTTTTGTTCTGACGAGCCAAAGATACGTGCATGGAAACATAGGTTAGCCAACTTCAAGTTCGGTCCCAAATGCACCTGACATGAGAGATTTAAGAAAATTTTCGAACAGACTTATCAAGTAGTCTCCCTACAGCCATCTTACAGCATATTTTAAAGTGACGATCAGCCCCTGAAGGCCTACCGTCTGTCCAATCATATTACCCCGAAATGGTATAGAATGAAGGGGAACGTTTAAGTTACTCCTGAAAAAGAGGGCAACCAGTTGTTATTCAACGCAATTCAAAGGCCAGCAGCTAGTAATGTTGACTCAGTCTTCTATGAAGTGCGCGTGTGCTGCTGGGTTGCCACCGGTCAGAATGCATTATCCTGTCGCCTTTGATACTCGGGCGGGCAGAGAGCACTCTTTCTTGGATTTTCTTGCCATCCGTGAACCTATAAGAATCTAACTTCCCCCCGTGTCCAGCCAAACATCGTACACAAACCTTCACTTGGCGAGCAAGGATCACTGTTACATCTAAAGCATTTCTCCACCGTAAGATCTTAGCTCCACATCGGTTTCCCGAACTGGCAAACACCAATCACAGGTATGCAGGGAGTGTGGTACCAACGTGGTATCAACGTGGTTTATTCCCTGGATGCTGGGCTGAAAGTCTGCAACGATCATGCATGTCGACGGGAACGAACACCTCATACCTTGTTGTCTGGTCTATACGCATATGTTTTCCGTCCTTCAGGACTTGAGACTACCTTCACACTTCGGGATATGCTCGACGGCATTCCTCCTCGCTACAACTATATTACATTAGACTGATGCCCCGTAGATTGGTCAAGCTTTGATAAGCCTTACTTTTCTTAGTGGAATGTGCTGCCGAGGCGAAAGAAGTCTTTTAGCTCTTCTTATTATCAAAACCACTAAGCAAGGGTCCCCTGCCGATACCAAAGTCGAAAGCCTGGACGTAAAATGCACAATCAAAAAAAATATCAGACACATCTTCCCCGTACCTCCTGAAGGTGTTTTTCCCGAGCGTTTGTAAATCTACCAATAGAGATATAATCATACATGAGCAGGAACTAGGATGCCTTGTTATTCGACGCAATATTCTCCGTCTATGTGGAGATCCTGGTGAAAGTCTGGATGGGCGTGCCTCGTATTTTAACGATTCGTCGTGGTCGGTCCAGGATGATCGCCACAGAAAGCGAAGCGAGCATACATAGTTAAGCTTCGCCCAATTGACATCAAAACCAGACATCAGCTTGCGTACCATATTCCCCTCCATCGCGATCGATGTACCTTACACCCACACTTTGCCCTAAAGTGCGAGATACGCTGGTCCTTGAGCACTGTGCACTTAATACCCCAAACTGCAATTACTTCCGTAGAGTGTTATGTAGTCATTGATAACAGCACGCCATATGTGTCTAACATACGCATATAATGCAGTGCTCGTATATCACTCGGGTACCTCTGTTGAGACCATAAAGCCCACCCACCTTTTCCGCTCTATTATCCACATATGTCCCGATATTCAGCTCTATTCATACGGAGCCCCTTGTTGATATTGTAGCGCTTTCAATGTAGGCATGTAAAACAGGATTAGGAGGAGCCGGACATCCTCCAGGTAATAGTGTAAACATGGTCTCTCGTGCCTCCTCATACACCGATATTCCTCCAGACTAATATTCCTTTTTGAGCGGTGAAATACCTCCACCCAAAAAAAAAAAAATCTCCTCTTGTGCTCTATCCCCCCTTGAATTATAGAAAATATTGTTTAGAATCAACAACCCACCCCTTTTCTCAAGGCTTCCCCTTTACGGAGTACACACTGCTTAGTCACTAGCTCACGTGATGTAACTAACTCCACTCGAATAAGTGTTTATTACAAAGCAAACCTTAAGAAAATTAAAGTTGCAAATAAAAAACTTTAAAGACACTTCGAACGGACGGAACTTCGTATCAAAACTACATCAACAGCAGGCAGACGAGAGCAGTTTGAGAAGCATCTCAAAAAGAAAGGCCTGCGATGCATCCAAGTCCGATAGGTGACGTAGAGAATATTGATGAAAAGCTACTGCAGTCTCGATAATGGGCGCGAGACCGCGTTTTATTACCCCTTCCTTCAGCCTTGGATCGCCCGACCCACGAGAATCCTCACGCTGGGGACGGGCGGGACCGAGAACTCCTCGAGGTTGGCTTCCGCGGGCGCAGCCGGGATCTAAAGACAAGAGGCATGGAACATGCGGCTTGGTCCGATCACCAATGCATTACAATTATAAGTACACTTATAGCTCATTCGACAATGTATGTTCAGTACCGCCACCCCCCAGGAACGGCTCTGAAATACTGGGCGGGAGAGACAAACAGATACGAACAAGCTCGTATCTCCTTATACATATAAGTTCTTGAGCTCTGCTCCAAGATAGCTCTCTCTCAAAGGGTACCGAGACGGAAATGGCTTTTTCTTCAGCGCTTCAGAAGGCAGACAAGCAAACGGATAGGAGCCAAGGGTTGCACAATATTCACCACCAAGCACCTCCGAGTATCAATCAATCGCAAATGGAGTCAGCCACCGGCGGCCGTACTTCTCCACATCCTGTTCCTGTGAGAAGGTTGGACAATATCCGGGCCAGCTGTGACAACTGCTCAAGGTCGAAAGTGCGATGCAGCAAGGAGCAGCCGAAATGCCAACGATGCGTCCATCAGGGTGTTAGTTGCATATACAGTCCATCGCAAAGAGTACGGAGGAGGCCGTTACGAGATCCAATGGTAGAAGCCCCTCAAAGAAACAATTTGGCTAGGGAGACCTCCTTCAACAAACCAATTAGCAGCCATGACAGTCATATCATGAACAGCCTTCATCACAACGAACTTGGAAATCACAACGTCAACCATGACGACAAAATGCGAGATCGTGTCCATGGTTTCGACATGGATTTTGACAGAACACCAACCGCGGCAGACACTCACCAGGCATTTTCGGAGCCAAGCATGTTCCCAGCTGATGTCGACAGCCCTTGGGGAGGCCTGATTCCCACCTTTGATGAACCACCCCATCTCGCGTGGCAATTTGAACAACCTGGCCCCTTTTACGACCTGGACCCTCATTTCCCACCCCGATTCAACCGAGGCGAAGGCGCAAAGTCGCCTCAGTCGCCATTATCACACGTCAGATTCGATGAAAACACTACCGGCAGTAATAATAGCTACGGCCATCAATGCTCCGAACTAGCTACTTCCACCATTCAAAAACTCGACATCCCTATGATACCTTGTTCTTTAGCGTCTAACCATAACTCCACTACCTCTTCTGCTATGATAGCGGCCGCGGCTTCTTCAGTCTCGGGTACTTCAGGCACTGCGACCCCAATATTACCATCTCAGCCGAGCCAGGCTTCTAGGCGGGGGTCCCGCAGTTTTGAAATTATCCTGAGAGATAACCGTACCGCGCTGGAAGACATGCTTACCATTTTACAATGCCCATGCACGGTCAAGGCAGAACTTGTTTTCCTGGTAACTGCTGTATGCTCCCGTGTGCTTTCCTGGTATGAAGCCAGCCTTGAGCGTAGCAGCAGCGGCTGCAGTATTTCCAGTGCCGCAACAGCAAGCAATGCTTCAACTTCATCGAGCAGTACCTCTGCCGGATCAACAGCCGCCACCACAAGCTCCAATGCATCATCGTCCCCTTTCTTTGACTGGGTATCCATTCCATCCATCCGTATGGGGGCATATGCACTTGATCATGAACATTCACAACGCATGGTTGCACAATTAATACAAATAGAGTTGACGAAAGTGAAAGAAGTCATAGATGCATTTGCACGGACCTACTGTAACCGCAGTGATGGGCCTTCGAAATATGGATCCCACGGTCTTGTCACAGAAGACAGTGAGGACAAATTGCACCTGGCGTTGGAGGCGTTTTTGCGGAGCCGGCTGCGGGCAGCCGTGAGAGCTGCAAGGGAACACCTTAGTTAATATTATATAAAGGTCCGGTATTAAATTTAAGAGACATAATAGAATTCACAATCATAATAGTGTCACATTGAGTGTGTGTATGCTCCTGAAGATAATAATATAGTTGCAAAAAGAAACTACATCTTGCCCAGCATTGGCTGAGCAAAACGGAACAAGTTCTTCTTATCTAAGCTCCCTTTCAACTCCTGAAGCCGCTTCCAGTTCTGTCCGAAGCTATCGTGCGTTTCTTCATCCGTACCCATGAAACTAACATAGACAGGCTTCAGAGATTGCCCGGTACCCTTGATATCCGCCATCAGACCGTCAACCCAAGACTGGGCGTTTTCCATGCTGCCGGCTCCGTCAGGCACGGGCGCATTGATATGGAACAGGATATGTGGCTCGCGCGTGCCAAAGCATGTTCGGCTGTTCGGCTGTATCCCTTTCCCATGACCGACGTGAGAAAGTACATTGTACCGGCCGCCCATGGGGATAGCCTCTATATACTTGAGTAGTACTTCAACGACTTCTGGGGTGAATCGAGGAATAGAGACAGAACGTGAACAGACATCGGTGGGATCCTTGAATGGCTTCGATGTCATGGCTTGGAAATCCTTGAACGTCGCTATATAGATTATTCGTTTAGCAATTCAGCAATGATATGACTGGGTACAAGAACGAGGGGGCACCTACTCTCAGTGGTTGTATCTACAACGACAGTGGCCAGCTGCTTGAGTGTTTCCAGCCACTTTTTCCCTTCAGCAAGGTTGCTAGAATCAGCCCAAGTATAGATGAAGCTCATACCCAGCCCGACTTTAGACCTGTTGAAGCCGACTTGGATACCCAATGCATCCGGGACGCCTTTATCAAGCAGTTCCTGGAGTCTGTTCAAGGCCTGCCTGGTCTCCTCCCACTTGAACACGATGAACCCGCCCAGGATAGTTGGTATATGGTACACCTTGGCTGTGACCTCGACAATGGCTCCGAAGTTCCCTCCCGCTCCTCGGATGGCCCAGAGCAGATCGGATTCAGGCTTTGCTTCGACCAATGTGCCGTCTGCGAGGACGACTTTGGCAGCAAGGATGTTGTCTACGCCCAGTCCAAGATAGTCGTTGAAAGGGCCGTATCCTCCCCAGACGGCCCATCCGGTCCATCCAACATCGGCAGCCGTCCCGTTGGACGTGCAAAGACCGTGGGTGTTGAGGAATCCCACAAGGTTGCCAGACAGAATTCCTCCTCCGACGGTCACGGACTGTTTGTCTTCAGCCAGCGTTGCCTTATCCAGCTCTCGGACGTCGATAGTGACACTATCAGCAATGCATCCGCGGCCCCAGACGTCATGGCCACCTCCACGGATTGCGAGTGGTGGGCATCCATCACCGTCGGCCAGGTCACTGACAGCCCGAACAATCATCTGTACCTGCTCGACAGTAACAGGCCTGCATATCACCAGGGGTCGGGCGGTGATGAGCTTGTTGAAACACCCACGGAGGCGCTCATAGTGAGGGGAAGAGCGGGTATATAGCTTTAGAGAGCTGTCCAAGGATTTGAGTGTCTGGATAATTGGTTCTGTCCCCTGAGCGTCGATAGCAGGGTCAAATGTGGTCGGTTCCTGGCGGTGTTCCGCTGTGGAAGAAAAGGGGGTTGAGGTGGGCATTCTGGACGGCTTGTCGATGTGAATTGCCCGTCTATAGATGTTTGTATGTTTGTATGCCTGGGGCTTGCCAGCCAAACGGGGACGGTAGTGACTAGATATAGATATACACCTCTGTACCACCGTACGGGTGGCAGCCACCGGGATACAACGCATAGCGCAGTGTTGGGTCTATCGGAGGACCAACAGATTCGGTCCCGAGGAGCGCCCCGTCGTTGAAATGTCCACTTCTGGGCATATATTGGCAGTAAGGAATGCCAGATATAATACGCATTGGCGGAGTGGAAGCTGGCTCGGGGCAGAGGCAGGAAGCAGAACTCCAAGACTCTGTAGCGAAGACGAACGAACCTTGCTGGTAGTGAGTTTCTTTCAGGATGTATACATATTTTAGTAGGCTTGGACAGCTAGTTAAACTTCCGTTATTCAGATTCGCGGCCCAGGATTAAACTTGAAAAATTTATGTCATTTCTATTGATAGTAACAAGCTGGTGGAGAAGAAGTACGCTGGTCTACCGCTGGAAAGGGGCGCCCTCCCCCTCTATCAAGGCCTGCCAGTAGTTCCAGTCGATCTGCGATATGTCGACGGGAGGCTCCTCGGCGGTGCCAGAAAGGACAAGATCTCCCCCCGTATCCCGCACGGCTGCAACAGTAGCAGCGGAAGAGAGGTACTCGTCGAGCACGGGGGACACCTGGGCGGAGGGAGAGGACGGGCGCCGATCCCTGCGCATGCTGCGGAGTTTTGCTACAGACGCGGGCTCGGTTGTGTGCTGAAGAAGATGCGAGGAGGAGGTCTGGGTTACGGACGAGAGCTTGTCCCACGCCCTGGTGGTCAGACTAACGAGGGCAGAGACGAGGGTGTTTGTTCTTGCGGCGGTGATGATCTCCGGGTGGTCAGCGTAGAGCTGGTTGACTCGCTCCCATGCCAGCCGGACCAGGTCCCCCTCGAAGCGGGCCAGCAGCTCGGTGAGGACGAGGATGAGGGCCTCGAACGGGAAGGCCATGGCGACGTGCCAGCGATACGGCTGCAGGGCCTTGTTCGAGTATGCGAGATTGTCGTATCCTATGATCTCCAGCCCCAGACTGAAGACCTGGTCCTTCTCTGCCGCGGAGAGGGTAGACCCTCTGCTCGAGTACCACTGGCGAGTGTGCAGAGAGAGACGCATCTGGCAGACGGAGGAACGCCCCAGATAGAGGGCCAGCAGGTGAAAGGGGATGGAGGGATCGCATTTCTTAAGGTACCGCTCCTCCAGCCGGGTCTCGAGCTCGTCTATCAGCTGGCTCTCCTCCGCAAGACGCACGGCACTGTTGTCTTCCGCATGACGGTGCTCGAGGGCCTTGAGCTTGCGCATGTACTCGCCGACCTCGAACCGGATGCGGCAGAAGAGCATCTCGGTCGGTCCGTCGTACTCGGCGGGCAGCTCTCGCATGGAGGGGACGAGGTCGCTGTCGTTCAGGTTGAGCGGACAGCGGGTGTCCCAGAAGAGATATGAGTCCGGGTTCACGGCGACGCCTGACAGCTGCGCTGAGCGGCTGTCGAGGATGAGAATCTGCCACCAGAGCCGCCGGCGGTTCTCCTGCTCGAAGACGGAGAAGCCCCTGAGACTGGCCTCGCGGTGCAGGCCCATGGCCCTGGCCGTGCGAGAGGCAATGCCGGTGAACAGCCACAGCGTGTGCGGCTCATATGTATGCCGTGTTGCCAGCTATACAGCCCGTTAGCATCAGCATCACACCAGTTTCAGTAGTTAATGATAACCAGAAATAGCGGGAGTTACCAAGTAGAGAGTGAGCGCCTGCAGGGTGAAGATGTTGGTCGACCGCAGGAACTCGGCGTTGGTCAGGGCCTGCTTGGTCGCCCTGGTGAAACGGCTGAGAAGGGCGGTCCTGGACTCGCCCAGCAGCCTCAGACAGGTCTCCTCGTCGGTCGAGGTCACCGCCGCCGTGTAGATGGCGAAGAGCAGGGCCTCGGTGCTGCGGGAGACGCTGGCCAGGTCCGCGGCCGCGTCGAGCACCATCCGCTGCATCGTCTGCGAGTGGAAGAGCTTGACTATCGGGTTGACGTTGTTCAGGTAGATCTGCCACAGCTGGAAGAGCTGCGGCGCCGGCGGGTGAAGCCCATGGAGGTCGAGGTAGCGGGCGTCGCCAAACAGGCTCAGGGGCTCGCTCTCCTGCTGCTCGAGGTCGAACTGCGACTCCTCGTCTGCGTCCAGAACCTCCGGATCTTGCAGCTATTCCCGTTAGACAGCTCTCACATTTCTATGCTTCACTTCTATGCATGAAAGGGGCCGCATTTACCTCGTCTGACAACCCTTTCCACAGCCAGCTGCGGTCACAAGTTAGCCTCTGATCTGGCACACATTTTATATATATATATATGGACTTACTTCTCAACATAGCGCGAGCCCGCCGACCGGACTATCATCTGGCCCTGGGGAGGCGCCTGCGAAGGCAGCAGAAGCCCCCGCGAGGCCGTCTCGCCGGGCTGCTCGTCGTCGACCTGGATGCCGTGCGCCTTCAGGGCCTCCTCGCAGCACCGCAGCCGCCGCACCAGACGCTCGCTTGCCGCCGCCGCGGCCCTGCTGGCCTCTCGTCGATGCATCGAGGGCTTCGTCCGCCTGCCGGGGACGCACTCGATCCTGTTGCGGCGGCAGGACGAGCATGGCTGCTGCCCGTCGCACCGCACCTTGCGCTGCTGGCAGGAGAAGCACGAGTGGTTGCGGGTGATGCGCGGGAGGCCTCCTGAGTGCATGCTGTCTGCCATCGTCTATATCTCACTGTCTCTCTCTCTCTCTCGCTATTCTCACATGCAGCGGCCGCTTCTGATATCGACCAGCTATCGTTCTCTTACTTAACGGAGCCCCGTCTCGCATCCCCGGGCGATCACTCGGTCCCGTCGGCGCGCTGGCTGGCTCGGTCCCGGCGGATGCAGGGAAAAAGCAACGAAACGGAGCGAAGCCAGGGCGAAGAGAAGAAAAAAAAGAAAAGAAAAGAAGCGCGAGCAGAGCAAAGAATGCAAGGGACGGTCCCGGCTGGGTTGAGAGACCCGTTGTTCGAGGGCGACGTCGATCATCTATCACTTGTTGTATATATATATATATATATATGGCTGCGCAGGCAGTGGTTATGGCTGCTGTGATGGCCGCAGAGCAACTAGTTACCCCTGAGCAAACAGCGAGCAACCACCACCAGCAGCCACCACAACGCTCAGGATGAAGGAAGACGAGAAGCCTCCGGTCGAGGACGTCAAGAAGGAGTCGTCCGAGGTCAGCTCGCAGCAGGCCGCGACGGAGAAGATGGTGGACGAGAAGAAGCCGGACGGCCAGGGGGAGGACGAGGGCGGCTACACCAGCGGCGCCCGCCTGGTCGTCATCATGGTCGCGGTGCTCATGTCTCTCTTCCTCGTTGCCCTGGTAAGCAGTTATCTATCTATCTAGCTAGCTAGCTACTTCATGCATCGAATGTGCAGTTGCTGACGGCTGTAGGACCGAACTATCATCGCGACGGCGGTGCCTGAGATTGCCAACCAGTTCCACGCCCTGACCGACATCAACTGGTACGCCAGCGCCTATCTCATCACCAGCTGTGCCACCCAGCTCACCTGGGGCAAGGTGTACACCTTCTACTCGACCAAGTTTGTGCTGCTGAGCGCCATCGTCATCTTCGAGGTCGGCTCCGCCCTCTGCGGCGCTGCCCCAAACTCAACCGCCTTCATCGTCGGCCGTGCCATTGCCGGCACAGGCTCGGCAGGCATCTTCTCGGGTACCACTGTCGTCATTGCGCAGGTCGTGCCCCTGAGGAAGCGTCCCGTCTATGTCGGCATGATGGGCTCCATCTTCGGCATCGCCTCTATCATCGGGCCTCTCATGGGCGGTGCTTTTACTGACAGAGTCACCTGGAGATGGTGCTTCTACATCAAGTGAGCTTCCTTCTCCCCTTTATTTTATAAATAACGTATATATATTTACTCAGGGACATCCTGCTAATCGATCATTCTAGTCTCCCCATTGGAGGTGTTACCATGGCTGTGCTCCTCTTCCTCCTGAATGTTCGCTCCAAAAAGGAGTCGACCCCCTGGAAGGCCCAGATCAACCGCCTCGACCCCATCGGCAGCATCCTCTTCCTCCCCTCGGCCACCTGCTTCTTGCTCGCCCTCCAGCTCGGCGGCACCTCGTACCCCTGGAACAACGGCCGCATCATCGCCCTCTTCGTCGTCTCCGGAGTGCTCATGATCGCCTTCGTGGCCGTCCAGATCTGGAGACAGGAGGACGCAACTGTGCCACCTCGTATCTTCAGCCAGCGCAGCATCGCCAGCGGAACTGCCTTCTCTGCCTTTGTCGGTGGAGTCCTCATCTCCATGCTTTACGCCCTGCCCATCTGGTTCCAGGCCGTCAAGGGCACCACCGCAGTCCAGTCCGGCATTGATACCATCCCCATGGTCCTCTCTCTCGTCGTCGGATCCATCCTCTCAGGCAGCATCATCACCGCTACAGGACACTATGTTCCATGGATGTACGTCTCGACCGTTCTCATGTCAATTGGCGCTGGCTTGACAACCACGTTCAAGCCTGATACCAACCACTCTGCCTGGATCGGATATCAAGTGCTGTTCGGCTTCGGTATTGGAACCGGTTTGCAGCAAGCTAGTTTGGCGGCCCAGACGGTGCTCAACATGAAAGACCTCTCGACCGGAGTCTCTCTCATGTTTTTTGCCCAGTCCCTCGGCGGTGCCCTTTTCGTTGCCATCAGTCAGTCCCTGTTCTCCAACGCCCTCGCCTCCAATCTGGCTAAGGTGCCAGGTCTGGATGTGAAAGCAGTGCTGGCCAGCGGTGCAAAGGATCTCTCCAAGGTAGTCCCCCTTGACAAGCTGCCGCTGGTTCTTCCCCTTTACAACGACAGCTTGAGGAGATCCTTCATCGTCTCCCTGGCAGTCTCCTGTCTCATGATTCTTCCCACTATTGGAATGGAGTATCGTGTCATCAAGAAGAAAGAAAAAACTCCAGCCCCAGAGGCAACTGAGGTATAGACTAGTAGTTAATGACTACTTGCATATACATATTTACATAGCCAAAATTTACATAGTCTTTTTCTGCATAATGTTTAATACATATCTCCTCTCTGTCGTCTCTAGTATAAGTTTCTCCCAAACTGTCTCGTATTCATTATAATTAGTTTTGGAACTCTGCATAAA